CTTCTTCTTCTTCTTCTTCTTCTTCTTCTTCTTCTTCTTCTTCTTCTTCTTCTTCTTCTTCTTCTTCTTCTTCTTCTTCTTCTTCTTCTTCTTCGATTGGAGAGCACTAAGGAAGTCCAAGATCGCTACACTGGGCCATGGCTCAGTGGCAGAGCATCTGTTTGGCATGCAGAAGGTCCCAGGTTCAATCCCCGGCATCTCCAGGTAAAAGGGCCAGGTAGCAGGTGAAGTGAAAGACCTCTGCCAGAGACCTTGGAGAGCAGCTGCCAGTCTGAGTAGAGAAGGCTGACTTTGATGGGCCGAGGATCTGATTCAGTGTAAGGCCGATTCATGTGTGTACACGGAGCAGGGCCATGGCAAACCATCTCGGTATGCCTTTTGCCCTGACTTGGACGGCCCAGGCTAGCCTGATCTCATCAGATCTCAGAAGCTAAGCAGGGTCGGCCCTGGTTGGTACATGGATGGGAGACCACCAAGGAAGGCCAGGGCTGTGATGCAGGGGCAGGCAATGGCAAACCACCTCTGAACTCCTCTTGCCTTGAAAACCTCACGGAGTCACCATACGTCAGCTATGACTTGACGGTACTTTCCACCCCCACCGGTCCTCCCCGTTTCTAAAGGCTCATATACAGGGAGATGGAGCAAAACACTAACAAAATAAATGCATACTCCCCCCCAACACACACATAGTTCTGCATTCACAGAACAATAACAACAAGAGCAAAAAAACCCTGTGTAAGATGGTGGGATTGTTTATTCATTTATTTATTTGATTCAATTTCCATTCCGATCTTCCTGCGAATGGGATCAGGGTGGGTTACAAACATTAATTGTAAAACAATAAAACTAGAGATTAAAACTATAAAACTTAATCCTTAAATGATGGTGGTCAGTCTACTTCACAACATGAAAGACACTGCAGACTGGGCCAACCTGAAAAATCAGCAGTGGCTGAATGTAGGCTAACTCAAACAGGACACAGTATCTTATTCCAAGACACTGAAAGGCTGGACAACACATCCAATTACCATGTCAGATTACACAGGGAAGCCATTGAAATTCATAAACATAAACACAATTTCAAGTGAGAGTGGCTTCATTCTGTCATTGATATCTGATTGCTAACGGAGACAAAAAGAAAACAAATCCATGCAGCCCGCCGAGAAGATTAAAGAGAGAGCATGAAAGTTGGAGGCAAAACCACTGGGACTGCATACAATATATCATGGAATTTGCATACAGAACATATCAATGTCGTGGATATATATCCATCAACAAGTCGCTTGGCAGATATCAGATTATTATCCAACATAACTTTTAAAATCAGAAGGCATGCTTTGTAGTCTAGTAACCAAAGAAATTACCATGATAAGTATGTTGTTGTTGTTCAGTCGCACAGTTGATTCCGACTCTTCGTGACCCCATGGACCACATCACGCCAGGCCCTCCTGTCTTCCATTGTGCTCTGGAGTTTGCTTAATTTCATGTTCGTTGCATCGATAACACTGTCTAACCATCTCATCCGTTGCTGTCCCCGTCTTCTTTGACCTTCAGTCTTTCCCAGCATCAGGGTCTTCTTCTCCAGTGAGTGCTCCCTTCTCATTGGGTGGCCAAAGTATTTCAGCTTCAGTCTCTGGCCTTCCAGGGAACAGTCAGGGTTGATTTCCTTTAGGATTGACTGATTTGCTCTCCTTGCAATCCAAGGGACTCTCAAGAGTCTTCTCCAGCACCATAGTTCGAAAGAATCTATTCTTCGGCGCTCGGCCTTCCTTATGGTCCAACTCTTGCAGCCATACATGACTACTGGGAATACCATTGCTTTGACCATGCGGACTTTTGTTGGCAGGGTGATGTCTCTACTTTTTAT